CTCTTGACTAAATTTATTCCAAGCCATGTAATTCCTTTGATGTGATTGTAAATAGAATGTTTTCTTGATTTCTGTTAGTTCATTAGTTGCATATAAAAACACAAGTGATTTGTGTATTTTGTAGTTTGCCACTTTACTGTATTCATTTTTTATTTCTAACAGCCTTTGGAATTTTCTGTGTATATCATGTCATCTGTAAATAGTCATAGTTTGACTTCTTCCACTTTCTTCCAAATTAGATACCTTTCATGTCTTTTTCTCGCCTAATTGCTGTGGCTAGGACATCCAAACTATATTGAATAATCAAGCCTTTTACCATTGCTTACGATGTTGGACATGGATTATATATGACCTTCACTATATTGATGCACATTCCTTTTATACCCATCTGTTGAGATCAGAACCTGGTGACAGATCAGATGTGGAGCAGGAGAGTCAGAGTGACTCCTGGGTTCCTGACCTACGTGACTTACATTACTGAAAGAGAAAATAGGGGGAGTACTTAGGGGAGGGAAATGAGTAGTTGAATTGAAAGAAATTTTTTTCTAGTGTGTCAGAAATTTCTGAGACCCAAAATCAACAGACCATACTAAGTCGATAAGACAACATTCTGATCATGAGTCTTCCCAAGGGGAAATAGTAAAGCAGCAGTCTTGATAGAGAAGGTGCCAGAGAATCTTTGAAATGGCAGTCGAGTCCAGTGCTCATTTTTGCTTTGATTAGGTCATACAATGTGAGTTTGAGCCAGTTTCTTTGTGGAGACAGAAACTGCCCCCAACTTCTCTCTTGGATAAAATTCAACTAAGAAAAACAGTCGTGTGCTACTGCCTGGAGCATCCCATTTAAAACCAAGTAAGAACAAAGCCAATGTGTGGAAATGTCTCTGCTGGTCCTTGTTTTTATTAGCAGGAGATTGAATTCTACTTTGTCCTTAAACTCCTGCCACTCAGTTAGCAGTCCTGAGTTACTCCTGAGATGAAGTGGCAGAGACAGATTAAATATTGATGTAGAAGGCAAAGCAGCATACTCATGCTGTGGGGAGAAGTTGGGTGTTCTTTGAGGGAAGTCTGTCTAAACTGAGTGACTTCTGTTCTTCAGATTGTTGACTAATCTTAGTGACAGCACACATACATGCAAAATAGCTTGAATGTATATAATGCAGTTATATTTTACAAAGTGCTTGTACGAGGCTTATTTTAATGTAGTGATTAAAAATGGAGCCACACTAAGTTTAAGCCTGGCTCTGCACTTGTAACTGCAGGAGCTGGCAGGTTAACTTCTCCCCACCTCACTTTCCACATCGATGAAACAAGTATAATAATAGTACTTGTCCCCTCATGTTCTTGCGAGGAGTAATTGGTAGTAAAACAAGTACTGCCTGGCACAGAGAAAAGTTCAATAATTAAACATTAGTATTAGTTTTGCACAAGTATTATTATGCCCTTGCTGTGGATTGAGAAAACAGACACAAAAGGTCAAGTGAATGGTGAATTTTCTGTCGGAGCCCAATTCCCAGATTTAAGGGCCCAGTAGGACTTCCCATCTGGATGGTGAGGTGGGAGGAAGGGCCTGATAAACTATGGTTTGGAAAGGAACCTTTATAAACACCATCTCACGCAGGGTGAGTTAACAATTGATGCCAGATGAGAAGATAAGTGGGTAAATGTCAGTGATTTTGCAAATTAAGTAGCTCCTCAGAGACTAGTAGGTTATTAAAAAAAATCCCAAACACTTCTCTCTCCCCCACCTCCACCCCTCCCCTAGTGGAGTCTGCAAGTAGAAGTTTGTAGATTTGTTTTTTTTTTTTTAAGAGGTCTGCCTGGCAAAGAAATGTCGGTTTAGTACAGCCAACTTCCCCATGTTGCCTTCAGTTGTTCAGATCCCTTTTAACTGCATTTTTAAATCCAAATTCCTTATTTCAAGGGCTTCGCAAAATTTTAAAAATTCAAATACTATCCAAATATGCAACATTTGGACCAGGAGTGACTGATGTGACTGCTCAGTAATACTTGTATTTGCATATATGGCTGAGCTTTGATAGATGGCATTACTATAGAAAGCCTTCGGAAATCACAATGTGTCTTGTTCTTCCCACAGAAGTCCCCCAGGACTTCTGTGGACTTCTAAATGCTCCTAGACATTTCATCAGTCTGTTTTTACTCCATGAAGCCTGGAATCTACATCATATGGGCTTCTGGTTCTACCCAGCACTGATGACTTTGAAAACAAAAACAAGGTCAGCAAAGGAAAGACTGAGTGGATTAGACTATGGAGCCTGACCCCTGACGGCTGCTCAGCTGTCTTAGATTCCTGGCCCACTGAACAGAGCCTACCTGGGGCTCTCAGCACTGGGGAGCCACAGAGGAGCCCAAGAGAACTGAGCAAATGTCAGCAGTAACTCAGCTCTCCACTCACCCCACATGTGAGGACAGACTTGTCGTTACTGGTTTTGGCTCACTTGCAAATTAAAAATCATCACCTGTCATTCAAATGCTGGCTTCTGAAAATCATAATGAGGATTTTTTTTTTATATGATATCAAATTACTAGTAAAAATCTTGGAGTTCCTTTCAGAAATGACATATAATATTAGTTTCAAAATAAATCATACTTAACGGAATAATGAAAAGCGTGACTGTTACCTTCTTTCCATGATTTAATTTTTCAAAAGCCTTTTCCAGAAATCGTACATGAATCCACTGAAATGGATTCAAAAACATTTGAATATGCAAAAGGTCTTTTCTGAATTGGAAGTATTATTGCTCAGTTAACTACCTCTTTTAGATTTGGAATAACCTGGCTTTCTGTAAGAAGTATTGCCTGGTAACATTTAGTGTGGCAAGCCTAGGAAATGTAACCTGAGAAATTAAATAGTCCTAGGCTGACTTCAAATAGAGGTCAGTCTCATTATCATATGAAAACCAGGAGTAATGACATTTGACTGAACCCTGTCCAGCAGGAATGTTGGGAGATATAACCAGGCAGTGTTTATTTTTCTTCTGTTTTTCATTCCAATATCCTTGCTATGCTCTTCAAAAGAACTAAAATCTCAGTGAAAGAGCAACAAGCTGCTGGGTTTGTTGCTGGAGGGAGGTTATCTTGCAGGCAAATACCACAGCTGCCAGCCAGAATTCTGGCAGAAAGAAATGCTTTTAGCAAACAATGCTTTTTCCAGGAAAATTAAATTATTAACATTAGCAACATTCTCTCCCATCTGCATTTTTCTGGACTCAATCTCTCTTCAGCTGAGAAGGAATAAAATTCTAATACACTGTACATTTTATTCCACTTGTAAAATTGTCTTTTCCATTGAAATTGTCTTAATTAAACAACTTGAGTAAAGGCAAAGATTATCACCCATGGTGAGATGCTGAAACAGATGGGGAGTTTTTGAGGTTGCCATTAAGCCAGAACTTGAGGGTATCAACAGCAGTATAAACCTTAGTCACACTGAAGGCCTAGGGTGGTCCAATCCCAAGATGGACAGATCTTGAGGAAAGATTTCCCCATATCATTCTGATTACTACTGTATTCTCTGATACTGATGTTGAAGAAATACAAAAAGTCCACCAATACACTCAGTTTGTTAGTCAAAAAAATTTTTCCGGGCCTCCCCGGTGGCGCAGCAGTTGAGCGCTGGGTTGCAAAGCTGCCCACAGCCTCTGCAGCACCCGTTTGGCCGCCGGCGAGGGTCCCACATGGCGCACAGACCTCTCCTTCCGCGCCCGCTGCTCTCCTCAGCAGTATATTTCGTCAGTCTGCCTGTTCTGTTCCCTGCTCTGGCTCTGGTGAATTCTCTCACCCTCCCACGCTTCTGACTGTACCCAGTGCTTGTATAGATAAACAAATCTTTAAAAAAAAAAAAAAAGTTAAAAAAAATTTTTTTTCCTTTCCTCCCCTTCCTTGAAAATGTACATTTTTTTTAAAAATCAAGATCTTTCAGTTGAAGCTGCATAGTTTTAGGGGTGGGTGGGAGGGTGGGTGGGTGTTTGTGTGTGTAAAGATAGATGATAAAGATACAGGTTTAAAAAGACTGTCCTTTTGCCATCTGGCTACCTGAGGCTAAGACAAAAAAAAATGAAAGGCTAATTTCACAAACCATGGAGTTTAATTTCTCTTGCAGCTGAGAAGTAGACAATATAAAGTCAGACTTGAAACCATTGAGAACTGCTACTTCAGTTTATTTCAGTTAAATATACTGGATACTTGTGTAACTCTGTTTTGTAGTTAAGGGGGCAAATTACATAGCTCTGGTAACTGGAGAAGGGGTGTAGCATAATAAATGAGGGGCTAAATTTGATAAGTCTTGGTATGAATGTTTACAATGATTATATAAGAGTGACCCCTAAAGTTAGCCTGACCCAAATTCAAGACAGCCCATCTAATGGTCTGTGTGTCTGTCACTTCCCCTCACCCATGTGTGTGGATAAAATAATATCTACAAGACTGTTGGGAGGACTGAATGAGATGATCCATGTAGAGTTTCTCCCAGTGTCTGGCATGTACGAATTGCCCTACTAATGTAGTTGTGACTAATGTTCAGCTCTGGGACCTTGGGAAAGTCCCTTCATTCCTCTATTCCTTACAGATAGAGACTGTTGATTCTCTATTTGTAAAACAAGAAGATCATTTACCCTACCCACCTATGCTATTGTTGTGAGGATCAAATGAAACCATGTTTTGAAAAGACATTTCAAAGTGAATAGTTAGCACAAAGTTGGGAAGACAGAGCTGTTCACAGATGACACAATTGGAAAACACTAAGAGACAACAACTACTCCAAGTATCAGCCTGTGATGACTGAAAAGTTCATGCAGAGGCAGTTGTGGACATTGAGAGAGAATACTGCGCCATAATATTGAGGGGGTCAGTTCATATGAAGTAGGGGGAGCTTGAGCTTAGCCCTGAAAAAAAGACGATGTGACTGGGAGAAGTGAGTCTTCCTTCTGTTGACAACTGCAGCTGGCTAATCTGTGCTGTGTGTCTCTTCTATGGTTACAGGCCGAGCTCATTGGAAGCCTCACCCACAAACTTGAGGCCCTTCAGGAAGCAAAGGGAAGCCTGTTGATGGACATCAAGCTCAATAATGCCTTGGGAGAAGAGGTGGAGGCTTTGATCAGTGAGCGGTGCAAACCCAACGAGTTTGACAAGTACAAGATGTTCATTGGTGACTTAGACAAGGTGGTCAACTTGCTGCTCTCCCTCTCAGGGCGCCTGGCCCGTGTGGAGAATGTCCTCAGCAGCCTTGGTGAAGATGCCAGTAATGAAGAAAGGGTAGGTGGCCTACTGATTAGGGTCAACAGATTTCCCTTTGAGCCCTCTTTCCTTTGAGCCTCTCAACAGATTTCCCTTTGAGACAGAAATAGAGCCCACCACATAGATAATCAGGAAAGAGAAGACGACATCTTCCATGCCAAGATGTAATGCAGACACTTCAGGCTTAGGGAATACTTAGGAAAGTAAAAACACAGGGCCAGAATTGCTGTCCTTTCTCCCTATCCTGGGGAGAAAAGAAATGAAAGCATCATGGGAGTTGACATAAAAAAAGAGAATATCCAAACTGCTAGGGATGAGGAAGCAGCTCAGAACATAAGCTCTAGCTCCAGGAAAGCTGCAGGTGAGGGGCTGCAGACACTGAGCAGAGATACAGCCATAGGGCCCAGGGCTAAGGTAGGAAGAAAAAGGGCAGGTGGACAGTAGTGGTAGGAATACTGGAGAAAATTCAACTTCCTCCCCTGTGGCAGGCACTACGTGCTAAGACTCTGTAGGTGCCGTCTCATGGAATACTCACAGCAGACCAGTAAGGGATAGACTAGGGTATGAGTCCTGCTACAGTTTTTATTTACTAAATCGAACTTAATTCCATGGCTTCAAAGCATACTCTCTCTACTCATCTGTATAGCAAATATTTATAGGTGTCGAGGCAGGGGGCTTCATCTGCGAACAAAGACAGACTCCTGCCTTTGCCGAACTTATCATGTGGATATCAATTTTATTTATACACCCTAACTCACCAGAAGGTGATAAATGTTCCAACCATAAAGAGACTTCTTGCTTTTCTGTCAGCTTCTCTTATCCATAGCTGTCTTCGTGACTATTAAAGATTTCCCAATTATTTCTCCCAATATATTACATTAAAGGGGAATATAACTTTTTAAAACAGATGTTAAGAATTAGAAAAAGTAAAAAAAAAAAAAAAAAAAGAAGACGTCCAGATGTTAGCATTTAGGACTGTGATTGTGTGTCCAGGGGCCCTGCTGGTCCACTCCGGAGTCACACTGCAGTGCCCGCCTCTGTAAACGTGCTGTGCTTAGCTTAGTATGAAAGAAGCGGTTGCATCTAATGTGCTGCAGGACAGCAATAAACTCAGAGCCATAAAACACCGTTCAGGAGGTAGAGTAAGGTCAGGAAAGACTTTGCACAAGTGGACATGAATAGAGTCTAGAAGAATTTCTATAGTGCTAGGTGGACTAGAAGCAGGAAGGTCTGTACCATTTAGAAGAAATGTCATGGACAAAGTCAAAGACCATGACCCGGAAAAACACAAGACTGTGGGATGTTTAAGGACTGATTTGCATGTAGTTGGTATTTCTAGTGCATACAGTGATTGCTTGGCTTAATTGTTTTTAGAAATAGCAAATTACTGGAAATATTAGAAAAGTCATAGTTTGGGAACTGACAGGAAATAGAGGACTTACTCAAAAGGGGTAAATGAAAGTCCAGTGAAGGTATGGGAAGGATTAAGCCAAGGGAGGATAATCAAGTCCCCTTTCCCCCTTCCATAGCTGACATCAGTAGGGAAGCCAATATACCTCTAGACCTGAAGGAACACGAGGAAGGGGTCCCCTATAAGAACTACAGCCATAGCGCCCTATAGCACTATGAGGAATGCAGCCACCACTACCTGGCAGAGAGGGAGCCAGGGATAAATGCCCCAATTTCTTCCTCCTGCCCATGCTTCCCATTGGCCAAATCCAGAGGGTCAGGGGGCACAGCTGATATAGTCCACAGAGTTCAGCTTGCCTGGGCACGGAGCAGAGTTTAAAAAAAAAAGAGGATCTGGAGAGGTAGCCAGAATCCACTGCAGAAAATAAGCACAAAGACCCAGAAGTCTGTAGGCTGAGAAGAGCTCTGAACTAATGTCATGGTGTAATATTTGGGGAAGGGTGAGAATGGTACTTAGAACTGGGAGCATTATTGTAATAGTCTAGCAAGAAGGGTTAGGCTGTTGATTTAAGCAATTGTCATGGGGATGGAAAATAGGGGATGAGTTAGCAGGAATTTGAATCAGCAGGTTGAATAGGCAGGGCGTGTTAGATGAGAGAAAGGTAAATCAGAAGGTAATTCTCAGTTTTCTGTTCGGATGCTACAGATGTCAGATATAAAGAATACTAGAGAAACATTTAGTTAGGGGAAGAAGAGATGTTTCAGAATTGAATTCAGTTGAACAGTTAAATGCACACACCCTCTCTTCAATACAAATAAGTACTTTGCTCACCTGCAAAATTCTACATCAGTATTGGTTTTTATAATGGTTAGCCTTTATTAAGAAACAAAGTACAAATAGAAATGAAAAGAGGAATGTGGTTCATTAAATGCCAAATTCAGGATAACAGTTACCAAACTCAAGAAGGAGGGGAAGATGAGAATTGGGAAAAGTACATATACAGCTCGAGCCATCAGGTGTTTGCTTGTTTTTTTCATTGTGCTTTTCTAATAGGGAAAGGAAGCCTGTGAAAATGGAGCTATTTGTAAGATAAACCTATAACTTTGTACTTTTTCCCCACATATTTTATTATGTAATCTAATAGGCTATTTCAAGAGAGTTAGGACAGACACTTGAGCCCTTTAATAATTCCATATCAATGCATTTGTATTGAGATATATTGAAATAATCTTATTTCTTACATTTTTGTTCTTTAATATTTCTCAGTTGCTATGGCAGAAAAGTCTGAATGGCTGAAAGTAAAAGTTTAAGAATCTTTTAAATGACATTCAGTCACTACATTGTTTAAAAACCATGCTAAAGATTTTTATAGCTCTAAAGATAACATGCTATTTTACTATTGGGTAAGAAACTCTCAGAATATAAAATTGCCATCATTATTAAATAGAATTTCTTTCATTTTAGATTCAGAGGCCCAAAAAATGGAACTGAATTCTCTAGAAAGGGAAATAACGATGTTCCCACTGTTGTTTGTGGATTAGGGCAGAGGCTTTCAAACTTCAGCTGCAAAAGTATCGCCTGGAAGGCTTGTTAAAACACAGATTTCTGGGCTCCACCTCCATTGCTTTTGATGCAGTAGGAGAAATGGGGCCTGAGAATGTGCACTTCTAGCAAATTCCCGGGTGATGCTGCTGGCAGTGCACACTTAGAGAATCACTGTAAATGCTAATAAATACTCAAGCTACCTTGGTGATTGGCTGTCTCCCCTCCACCCTTCCAATTTTTTAATGTGGTAAAGTGCACGGCACAGAATTTGCCATCTTAACCATTTTTAAGTATATAGTTCAGTGATATTCCATATATTCCTATGTTGAATACATTCATATTAGTGCACACCCCTTTCTCAACTTCTTTTTGCAAACTCTGTACAACACCGACTCCCCACTCCTCCTGCCCTGAGTGCCCAGTGACCCCCACTCCATTTTCTGTCTCTGGGATTTGACTACTCCAACATCTCAGAGGTGGAATCATTGATTGTCCTTTTCAGTCCAGAAACCTAAAGAAAATATCACCCCAGCCAATTTAATATAGTCTCTCTCAAATTAAAGCTGCAATGATTCTACAAGTTAGCAAACCATATACAGTTAACCATGTACAGTTGAACTGCTTTGGTCCACCTTTAAGCAGATTTTTTTCCTATCCACTGGTTCTACATGCACTAATTCAAACAATCTCACATGTGAAACCCAAGGATATCGCAGCCCAAATATAAGGAAGTTGCGCATTTGGGCATGGGGGTGGGACAGAGGGAGCAGTCCTGAAACCAGCCCTGGGTGGATAACAAGGAATTACTGTAGTTAAGTTTGAAGGGAGGGAGTTAGGCGTTAGATACAGATTTTTGACTGCACAGGAGTTCTGTCATATTCAAGGTTTGACTGTACATGTAACATAGGGGCAACATAGGATTTTCATAAATTAAATCCCCTTCCTTTGGATACTGAGCCATGGCTCAATCCTCTGAATGATTTCTTTGCAGGCAACTAGACTCTTATCTCCCTTCCCTTGGCCTTTGCTGATGTGCCCATCTCTCTTTGGCAGAGCTCTCTCAATGAGAAGAAGAAGGTCCTGGCAGGGCAGCACGAGGACGCCCGGGAACTCAAGGAGAACCTGGATCGGAGAGAACGGGTCGTATTGGACATCCTGGCCAATTACCTCTCCGAGGAGCAACTCCAGGATTACCAGCACTTTGTGAAAATGAAGTCAACGCTTCTCATCGAGCAGCGAAAGCTAGATGACAAGATCAAACTGGGCCAGGAGCAGGTCAAGTGCCTGCTGGAGAGCCTGCCCTTGGATTTCATTCCCAAGGCCAGGGCCCTGGCTCTGCCCCCAAACCTCCAGAGTGAAATGACCCCCGCCAGAGAATACACTTTCAGCTGTGTTTTTCCAACATTAACCTCTCCACTCTAACCTCTCGTAAAATACCCAACCAAAAGATCGCCCTTTCTCGCAACACTATTTAATCTGGGAAAAAGGTTTCACTACAAACCACCATTTAAACTGTATAGGTTATTGGTTTTTTCTGGCTAAAAGGAAAAAATTCTGTCCAGGAAAAAGCCCCTTCTGTCCTTCTCCCCTTCTTGATTATCTTCTGAGAGCGTGAATGCTGCTGAGGACGTACCCCTTTCTATTATTACTTTGTAGTAGAAAGAAAATTAATGAAACTGTGACAACTGATCAGAGGGTGTTTGATTGATGGTTTTATTAGTTTTTAACTGGCAAAGGCCACGCAGATCAGTGCGTGTAGTCACCCTCAAGAATGTAACCACTGGGGCCTCCTAGCTTGTGGGTAGAGCACCTGGCGACAGGCACAAGCGCTCATTAATGAAGGGTCTGCAACATAAAGCCTTAAAAAGAAACAGAAAATTGTACAACCCTGAACATTGTTATTTATATTTTTGAAAATGAAAAAGATCATTGTGTGTGTGCTAACCATTTATTTGATTGTTTTGTGGTGGACATAGACAGTTATGTTTGAACTTTGTATTTTGTGAAAGCCTAATGAAATGAAGAAGTCCAAAGATAGTCATGCTAAGTGTGGAGACTTGTTTTTCCTTCAATTCTCAACTTGTCTTTCACATACAGGAGTAGCCGTCTGTACCTCGTTAGCCTGAGTATGGGGTGTGGGGCCCGGGGCAAAACCAGCTCCATGGCTGCCAGCCTCACCATTGCACTCCTGCCACAGGCAGGTACATGACACCTTCCCAGGGGGAAGGCTTCATGCAGCATCATTTCCCAGTGCCATTCTCACTGGTGGGCAGATGAAGCTGAGGTTTACTAACAAGGAGGACCATAAGCCAATTCCAAAGTAAACTCCTGCTTTCATGCTATCCTCCAGTATAGGCTATGAACTAAATACAGTGTATTTAGTGAGATATATTACCAGGCTGTTTTAATGATATGATGCCTTTTCTCCTAAAATATCAAACTTGTTGGCCACTTTTATTAAAACTCCCTCCTTAATATCTGAAGACTGATTTGCCATTCTCATGCTTCAACGGTACCATCTCGGAGGGGACTCGACCCAAACTGTCAGGTTTTTTTGTTTTTTAAAGACCCACGTATTTATGCATAGAAGAGCTGGGGTACAGGCCAGAGATGCGAAGGTGAGTGGGGTGTGAGAGGATTCACCAGTGACAGAGTGGGGAACAGAACAGGCAGACTGACTGAAACACACTGCTGAGGGGAGCAGTGGGCGAGACAGGAGAGGTCTGCTTAGCCATGTGGGTTGCTACCTGCCTGGCCGGGGATCGAACTCGTGCTGCAGAGGCTGCGGGTTGCTTCACAGTGTGGTGCTTAACCCCTTGTGCCACCAGGGAGGCCCCCACCCTGTCAGTTTTAAAACAGACTGAAACCACAGGAGGAGGCTACAGGCCAGTGGCTAGGCTATGTTGATAGCTATCGGGGAGGAAAACAGCCAAATACTCTGACCTGGTGGTACATACACCCCAGGCCGTGCTCTCCTTGGGTGGGTGTTCTCACACGTGGTCTGTGACTTGTGGCCGCCTCTTCTGATCCGGACTTGCAAGTACCATCAGAGAGAATCGGGAGATGACAATATGTAGGGAGGTACCAAAAGCCCTTTTCTCTCTTAGTATATTGTAATGAATTTTATCTGCTGGCTAGGAATGTCAACACTACAGTTTTGAACTTAATACAGATTGTCTTAACTTAGAAGCCACAGGTCACCCAGAACTTTCTTGAGAGCAGTCAACCAAAGTCTTTGGAGATTACACGCTGATGCCACTGACTGAGGAAGACAGCATCTTGGTGTCCCAGGAATGTTTTAAAAGCTTCTCTTATATCCAGAGGTCCCATCTCCCAGAGAATCAGTGGAGTCAGTGCCAACATTCAACAGTCACGTGGCATGGTCATTTAGGAGGAAAAAACAATCCACTGCTTGCTAGTTCTTAGGCCAACACAGGAGCCTGGAATCAACTCTAATCGGTATTAACTGTGTTGCTGATACTGAGTAGTTCCTTATACTCAGATTAGGTCAAACAGCCAACAAATGTCTTCAGCTGTTGTGAATGAACCTCTCAGAGGGATTCATTCTATGGCTCCAAATTCCCCACACTTCTAGATTCTTCCTAGGCATTTGGGAAACATTCTGCATATGCATTGTTTTCCAATGATTTCTAATTTATGCATGTGTAAGTTAAGTGACACCACCCTAACATTAGAGTTGCAGGCATGCCACAAGCACCTGGAAGCTCTGAAGATAACATCCCTTCCTTTGCTGCCATGAACTGTTCTGTTGCTAAGTGGAATGAGTAAGCAGCAAGTATGACTTTAAAATCTAATTTTTTAGATGGATATGAAATTTATAGTAATAGGACTTGACCTCTGTGCAATGAAGAGAAAAAAAACCACTAAATTAATTTTCAATGTTTATTTTTCAATGCCTTTAGAAAGGCCTATTATTTATCCCTTTCTATTTTACATTCTCCTCCCACTATTAAATCATTTACAGTAGAACTGAACTCTGTTCCCTCCCAACACTATGCTCAGCCAAGATCATGAACATGTTAGTCAAGAGTTCAGGACACCCATGACATCATCAAGAATGTCTGTTGACAATAACTGTCCCTTGAGGAGTGATTATTTCAGAAAAACCATGCTCCCTCAAAAGTCAGGTGGGATGGCCTTGTAATAATTCAGATGCTGAGACTGAAGAAACCTGTTCAGGTGCAAGAAAGGACGATGACCTGCAACACACTTCCTGGGTCACCTGAGAAGTTCCTGGCATGTTTTGACCTGCTGATTGACTCAGCTTTTCCTCAGGCCGTTTTGTTTCTTGTGGTGGCAACTACACCCCAAAGAATGCAGGGAGAACTCACAGTGGAAATATGAGTTTCTCTAAGTGGCACTGTCGAAACCAACCCTTTTTTTCCATTGCCCGAGGGGAACATACTAGGTTTTCTTTTGCACAACTGGTTTCCAAACTTGAAGATTAGCAAGCTTAGGTCAAACCCTAAGAATCGGTGCCTACTGAGGTGAGGAGTGAGGGCTTTACTGAGGTCCTTTAGGGCATTTAAAACAGAAACTATCCTGGAGGCATTCCAGTTTTCCTATATTCTAGTGTTAATATTGGATCTAAAATCGCTTCTGAATTTTAAAGGTAGATTATAGTTGTCTCTAATAGGAGTTCTAAATATTTTTATTGAAGCTGATCTTTCATTAAAATGCCAATTTTTTTTTCTGGCACCTAGAAAAGTGTTATTTTATTGTTTATGTTTCCAAATTTACACTTCTCTTTAGCTTAATTTTCAATGATTTTTATTGGCCTTAGTCTATTAGGTTGGACCTATTTTTTTTCTTTTTCTAGAACAACATCAGTTTTATTCACCTTACAGCTGGAAAGAAAAACAAAGAACTTTGGTCAGAAATCACTTTCCATCTCCAGTAAGATATAAAGTGATCAGGCAAAGGCCAAAGGGCCTTACTACACAGCAGTACCTGGGGACAAGGGAGTCAGTGTCTGAATTTTCTGGAACAAAGGTTGATAAAATGATAAAGATTTTACTATCAGAAAGAACACCTAAACAATTTTCTTGTTCTCATTTCTAAATAAAACCTTACTTTTCTTGTGGTGCTCATTCAGACACCAACTTAATCTTGTTTCTCCAGGTGTGGTCAAGATACTATCTGCATCAGAATCACCAGAATGCTTGTTAAAAATGCAAATCGCTGGAATATAACCAAGTAGGCTGAGAATCTGTACTTTAACAACTTCCCCAGGCTATTTTGAGTCTATTGAACATTTGAGAACCACTGACACCACCAATCGTTAGTACAGTTTCCACTGTCATGACCACAAATAAAACTAGCATGAATTTACTAATAATTCCAGAAACTCAAATCCTGGCAGGTCTGCATTCATTAACTACCTTCTTGTGAGTTAATATTTCCCTGCTATTAAATAATCTTCAAGGTTGTGATAAGGATTTTTTTCCCCCTCACTTTGCCATAGACCTGTTTTAAATTTAAACTAAGTAAAAACTCAACAGTTATCAGCTGATCATACAATGTCAGTAATTTGAAGTCCTGCCATGTTATTTGCACTAACCTGAAATCATAACTGACCTTTTCAGTGAGGACATTACTCAGACTTTTGTTGCTTCATCACAAATCTCATGCTACACATGATTTAGACTTTCTCTGAGCTTGGATTTGACAATCTAGCTAATGAGACAAAAATATATTAATTTCCTCTGAGAAGTAAAAGGAGCTATTGCCCAATATTAAAACCCTAAAATCAAAAGGCAGGGGGAAAGTTACCAGTAAAAAACAGACTCATTTACTCCAACTTCATTCTATTAATGCCTCTCTAATCTACAAGTAGAAAAGCAGCTGCATTTCTTGCTAAAGCATCAGTATGGCTAATGCTTTAGACACTATTCAAAAGATGATTAATATAAGAAATTATTAAATTCTGATAGAGGGATATTATGGAATATGGGGAAATTCTACATGATACCCTGGAGTTAAGGTAGGGTACCCTAGGAAAGACAAACTTGGAAAGGGTACTGGGTTTCAGACCACCTTGGAGAATTCTCAGTCACTGACAGCAGTAACGGTTGCTAGCCTTCAGTCTGTTGAGCAAGCAGCACTTGCTTAAGGAGAGCAAGCCAGATAGTCAGTCAACACCTCAGGGCATGCGTGTGCATAGGTGATGGGGGCCTGAAGAGAGGGTGGCCACAGCTTAGTGGAAACCCTGAGTCACACACAGGTCACATGAACCGCAAGGACCTGCAAAGAGCAGAGGAGGAGGTGTTGCCCAAACACCTTCAGAGCACTGATGCAAGTAGAAATTCTCACGGCGCAGGTTTCTAGTTCACAGAGACTACTGAGGCTGCAAGGTCAGCTAGGCCACCTGTGATTGGGGCTGAACACCATCCTCACGCTCACACCATTGATTCACCACAAGGTGACTGCTGGAAACTGCAAGCTAGTCCTTCCTTCCACCCGCTCTGGCATCCTCTATTGAGAAAGCTTAACATCAGACTCAATGTGTGGAAGAAACTACAAGCGATTCTGCCCATTATAACAAAGTATGTGTTGAAAGATGAATTTGGAGCTAAGATGAAGTAAATTCATAACTGGCACGGATTTAGTCTTCTAGATTATTACCCTAGCATAATCTAGTATCATGTAGAATTTTACAGTTGTTGCTTCTGTAAGAACAAGGTATCTGACCAATACAGAAAAAATCAATATGCATCAAATGGACAATTTATATCTCTTGAAGGGTAAGGTTTCAAAAGAAAAGTAATTTCTCATCTGTGCTTTCTTTAAATGTGCTTTATGCAATGTACTTTATACATAACAATACCAAAGACAATAGATTTAGATACAGGCCTAACTCAGAACATGGTTAAGTTGTGTGCCTGTTGATCTCTCTCTGCCTGGCTCTGCCTCTATATAATGCTGTCTCTCCTCTCCTTTGGTGTGTCTTCACATGCATATATTTCTCTCTTTGTGTGTGCATGTGTGAGTGCGTATGTGTCTGTATCAACCTTGTCATCTTCTTGTTCATTCATTCAACATATTATTCAACTGCAAGTTGGTGCAGTCCCTGTGGAAAGTGATATGGAAGTTTCTTAAAACAAAAATGGAAATTGCATGTGATCCAGCAATACTTCTACTAGGTATTTATTCAAATAATATGAACACTGTAATATGAAAATGTTTATCTATGCCTATATACATAGCAGCACTGTCCACAATTGCCAAGTCATGGAACCAAACTAAATGCCTTTAAACAGGTGAATTAATAAAGAATTTGGGGAATATATATTCAATGGAATACTACACAGCTGTGGAAAATGTGAAATAGCAGCATTTGGGACAAAATGGATGGACCTCAAAGTGATTATGTTATGTGAAACAAGTCAAAAAGTGAAAGACAAATATCAGATGGTTACACTCATTTGTGGAATATAAATAACAAAAAAAACACAGGAAAAATACAGTAGGACTAAATCTTGAACTCAGTGAAAACACAATGGTTAGCAGAGAGAATGGGGTTGGGGGGGGAATGGATGAGGGGAACGAGGAGGGAGGTGAATGGGGTATTGACGCAGGTTATTTGGTAGGTTGAGTGAAATATGCATATATGGAAGACCAAAGATGTAACCCCCAAAATTAAAAAAAAATTAAAAATTAGACTACAAAATTTAAAACTTATGATGATAACATTATTAGATAACAAATATGCAAACCAAGATTAGGAGAAAATATTCAAAATTCCACAGCAGACAAAGGACTGATACCCAGAATATATAAAAAACTACTATGATTTAAGAAAAAGACAACCAGTGCCTCCCTGGTGGTGCAAGGGGTTAAGCACCGCACTATGAAGCAATCGGCAGCCTCTACAGCGTAAGTTCAATCCCCAGCTGGCCAAGGAACAAACCACATGGCGAGGCAGACCTCTCCTGTCTCACCTGCTGCTCCCTTCAGTGGTGTATTTCAGTCTGCCTGTTCTATTCCCCACTCTGTCTCTGATGAATCCTCTCACCTCCCACATCTCTAGCCTGTACCCCAGCTATTGTATGCATAAATAAATAAATCTTGCCGAAAAAGAAAAAGACAACCAATTTTTTAAAAGGGCAGAAGATTAACAAATACTCCATAAAGGTTAAATGTAAGGTTAATTATCACATGAAAAAGTACATCATCAGTCATCAGGGAAATACAAATTTAAAACACTCTGAGTTATCACTACATATCTATCAGAAAGGCTAAAATTAAGAAAAACTGACAATTCCAAATGTTGGTAAGTATGTGGAACAACCAGAACTCTAATCACTGTTGACAGCAGTAAAGCCATATTAGGAAAAATATCTGACACTTTCTTATAAAAACTAAATATATATCTGCCCAATGACCCAGCAATTCCATTCCCAGGTTGGCCCTCAAGAATTGAAAACACTATCACTGCTTTGGGTGATGTGTCTGTAAAGATGTCTTTGATGTGCAAATCACGTAGTGTTTCGCCTATATTTCCTTCTATATATTTTATGGTTTCAGGATAGTGAAGGCGAAGATAAACAGCTGGGACTACATCAAATTAAAGAGCTTCTGCACAGCAAAAGAGACAATAACAAAAACAAAGAGAAACCCCACCAACTGGGAGAACATTTTTGCACCCAACACTAATGATAAAGGACTGATCACAAAAATCTGCAAAGAGCTGATGAGACTCAACAACAACAAAGAAAAGAATCCAGTCAAAAAATGGGCAGAAGAGCTAAAAAGAAACTTCTCTGAAGAGGAAATGCAAATGGCCAACAGGCATATGAAAAAATGTTCAACATCACTTGTCATCAGGGAAATGCAAATCAAAACTACCATGAGATACCATCTTACACCAGTGAGAATGGCACATATTAAAAAAACTAGCAACAACAAATGTTGGCGAGGGTGTGGAGAAAAAGGAACTCTCCTGCACTGTTGGTGGGAGTGCAAACTGGTCCAACCACTATGGAGAGCTGTGTGGAGATTTCTGGACCTACTAAACATAGAGCTTCCATATGATCCAGCAATTCCACTCCTAGGTATTTACCCAAAGGACACAGAAACATCAATTCCAAAGAGCACCTGCACCCCTATGTTTATAGCAGCACTGTTTACAATAGCTAAGCTTTGGAAACAACCCAAATGCCCAAAAATAGATGACTGGATCAAGAAGATGTGGTCCATATATACCATGGAATATTACTCAGCATTCAAAAAAGATAAACACATGCAATTTGCAGCAACATGGATGGCACTGGAAGGGATCATGCTCAGCGAAATAAGCCAAAAAGAAAAAGAAAAATACCGGATGGTCTCACTCATAGCAGGAATCTAGAAAACTTAAATAAGGGAACAGGAAAACGAATAACTATAAGAAAGTGAAAATCAAAATCAACAAAAAACTACGAACCAGAGACACTTTTAGGGGGGCGGGGGTGGGAGGGGAGGGATTGGGGTCAGAATGGGGGGGCTGCAATTGTATGGGGATTATAAAAATAAAATTTATTATTAAAAAAAAAAGTCTATCAAGAGAAAGGCAATAAAATTCCCCCAAACTAAAAAAAAAATAAAATAAAATAAAAT